GCAGCCGCCGTCAACAATCATTCTGATCCGCCAGTGCCGCCCACCATTCCTAACGAAAAATTGTAAGTAATTTTTTTTGGTTTTTAAAAATTAATCTACATTTTTTGTTAATGGTAGTCATGTTTTTATGAGTGGTGGCCATGCTTTACGCGCGATCGAATTAATCTTTACCATTTGTATCACACATGTACGCTCGTACAAATACTGAAAACCTGACATAGCAACAATCAATCATGACATATTCAGAAATTATTTTCGGCTACAAATCCTTTGGAGTGCGAACGAGCAAAGTTCGCTCTATACGAATATCATCCTACAGCTGAATGTCGAAGGCACTCTAAATTCCAGGGATTCTTGTCTATCACCACCGGAATGTTTGAAATGCCTTATTGATGATGTGGGAAAATACATCGACTTCACATCAGTTGTATCGTTTAGATACTCTGACTTTTCTGATTCTCCTCACTAGCATTGAAATTGGCAGTAGATGACCAAGTTGCTGTTTTTGACAGGCGTGCACTTCTAGCCAATACGTTTAAAAACCCAAACTTAAAATTAATAAAGGGATGTATCTGTTCAAGAGTACAGTGTTTCTTGATATTGCTTCATTATCAATTCACTTTCATATAATAGAAAATTTCAGCCCTCTTTTTGTAACCTGGAAAAAAGGCAGTCACCGTCGACTACGAGGTTGTATAGGGACCTTTTCACAATTACAGTAAGTTTTAGTTGTAATCTTATGTAAATACTTCGTCTTTCTTATCCTTTCATCCTGTGTAACATACATAATTTTCTAAACCATGATCATTACCTTCCCCTTTTTACACATCTACATAGGCTGTTTTTGTTAAGAGCCTTAGTGTGGTTTTACAGTTTACACACGGGTCTACGAGATTATGCTATCACTAGTGCGTTTCACGATTCGCGTTTCGACCCAGTACGGAAAGAAGAGATTCCTCATCTACATTGCGGTGTAAGCCACGTCACCTTTCTTTAGGTTTTTTAGAATATTTTCTTCATATATAACATGTCAGGTTTCATTATTAATCAAGTTTGAATCTGCTCATGACTATATGGACTGGACGATTGGTATGCATGGAATTCGTATTCATTTTATGGACGGCAGCGTACGCAGAGATGCTGTGTATCTGCCGGAAGTTGCTTATGAACAAGGTAACCTTAGCCTTAGTCTGCTTCATTACGTTACCCCTCATTGCATGTTCTCGGTTTAGGCTGGGACCATTTGGAAACAATCAATAATCTAATAGAAAAAGGCGGCTATCGAGGACGTATTGATGAAGGCTTCCGGCTTTCCCTCCAAGTTACTCGATTTCAATCTAGTAAAGTGATGATCTCTTATGATGTAAGCAAATAATTTTTTAAAGTTTTTCCTCGATGATTTCGACTTGTGAAACTGTTCTAGGACTACATGCGGTATAAGCGCGCTCTAAAGTAATGAGTGATCTCGCCTTATCACTGAACTGCCTCAGAAGAACACTGACCGAAATAACCATTCTAACTGTATCTATTGTATATTGTTGTATAAATGGGAGCGGTGACATAGTTTTTAATTGTCTTTTCTTTTTT